TTGAATGTCATATGGATTTGTTTTGGGTTCAGTTACTGACACCGGACTTGTCCAAATGAGCCTTTAGTTTAAACGAGCTAAATGCATTCCAGGTGCATAAAAACAAAAGGCGTGCAAAGTCTTAAGGTGCCCATACACTGTACGATTATCGTACGAGAATCGCGGGAAATCCCGTGATCGTGCGATAATCGCAAAGTGTATGGAAGGTGTGCGACCGCTTCTACTGTACGGTCGCACGTCTTCCGTCGAACAAGCAGGCTTAAAAACCCCCCGAGAATCGTACGATTCTCGGCGGTTTAGTGGCATGCTTGTTCGACAACTGCCGAACGGGCCGGTGTGCCCACGCGCACACTGCCCGTTTGCAGTCATCGGGAGCCCGCCCCTCATTGCCATCATCGCAAGCCCACCCCTTAATGGGGCGGGCTTGCGATGATCGCAAGTACGATCTGCCTGTCCAAGATGGGCAGATCGTACGAGCTTTTAATTAGCTTACAACTATCGCAAGACAAAAGTCTTGCGATGGTTGTAAGGTGTATGGGCACCTTTACAGTTTTTTTTTTTTTTAGAAAGCAGCCACAGCTTGAGTAGCAAACCCTGACCCCTGCTCGCAGAGTCAACACTTGCGCTTTGTGGGGAAGCAGTGGTCTCTGTGTAGAGGTCCAACATGCCCCCTGCTAATTAGCAGGGAGCTTGAACTTTGCTGATTGAAGAACTATAGGTCGGACTCAATAGGGTTAGACCTCTACACAGAGACCACTCCTTCCTCACAAAGCGTAAGGGTCCCACTCTGCAGCTGCTGGCAGGGGAACATTTGTTATTATGCACCTGGAATACACTTAGCTGATTTCAATTGTGCTTTAAGGATGCCTCCCACAAAGTAAGTAAGCAGCCTTTGGTTTATGTAATATGATCAAGATGGGTGCTGTATTGGTTATACAGTAGTGCAAAGGTTATAATAATGACAAATAAGTAAGAAGATGGTCGGCACTCTAGCACATAGATTAAGCTACTTGCCATTTGAAGAAGAGGATTTCAGAACATATAAGTGGTTCCAGCAATTCAGATGCTGTAATCTGTTTAATGTTTGCAGACTTTTTTGTCTGTACTAGTGAGGGATACATTGGAATTTGTTTACCAATGAATTGCAAGATGCCAGAGAATGTGATCCATCCTAAAGGCTATGTAAAGGAAAAACTTTTTTTTTTTGAATATAGTATAGAAGGTTTTAAACCCCTGACAAGTTTTATTGGTGTTTGTGCCCTCACAACACCAATAAAAACCTGTTTGTGAGCATTCACCCTTACCATTGGTCCTGGTGACCATTGTCTCCAATACAGAAACTAAGGGGAAATCTAAAATGTTTGAATTGTTACAGGAACTGGAGGTGAGAGGACATTTTCCAATGTGGACACCTGATCTGATGGCAACTACGAGTGGATATCCCATCACTGTTGAGAGATCCCATCTTACTTCCTGCTCTCTCTCTGAAATTGGAAGTGAATGGACATTTCCATGACAACAAAGAGACAGAGAATAGAAACTTGACAGGTTTCCTAAACTTTCCAAATGAAACTTTAAAAAAGTGTTATCTTTACATGCGCTTTAACAAAATAATAAATGAGAGGCATTCTGGATTTTTAATTCCCCTTGCATATTGGATTATTCAGATGCAGCTTTCTATAGACTACCAGAGCTCCAGAGACTATTAGTATTTGAGGACTAAGATGAGATGAGTTTTTTAGTATCACTTGAGAAAGGACATTTAGTCTGAAACATGTTGCAATTGTGTACTTCAGTAAATGCTTTTTGTCTGCTAAGGATCCTGAAATGATGACCATCTTCTTACTTATATGTGGAATAGAACAGGGAATACTTGGACTGGGAGCAGAGCTATAGGTCAGCAGGTGAGCTGCTGCTGTTTGTTCAAATATGGTTCTTAGGTTTATCTCCCAGACATATTATACATCATTTCTGACACTCTATAAATGGTATGTATCAACACAGCAGTAGAGGGATCCTGCTATATGGTTGTAAGATCATATCTAGTCGATTTTGGCCAGAGGATGTTGAAATTTCCTAAGGCCTCTTTCACACAGTCCGATCAGAAGCGGATCCTTGCATGGATCATGGAATGCATGGAAAAACTGAACTTACCAGACTCATGTTGGTCTAGGCTGGAATCAGATGTAAATGGACATGTCCATTTCCATCAGATTACCCCCAATCCTGCACGATCAGGCCTGGTGAAACAGAACTCTGATCTGTTCGTTTTTCTGGACTTGGCCGGAGACGGGGATAATCGGATGTAAATGGATGCCTATCCATTTAGATCCGGCTGCCCATAGACTAACATTGAGATTACAATCAGTTGTTGTCAGCTTTTCAGGCGAACCTGATCAGAAAGCCTGTCTGAAAGGACTGTAAATCACAGTTTACTTTCTTAATTTATATAGCACCAACATTTTTCTCAGAGCTCTAAATATTTACACAGAACAGAATAGGTGTAACATAACCATCTGTATCTTTCAAAAAATGATCTTAAATGTTATTCTGCCTTTTGATGCCACAGGGATAATTCCTGTTCTGTTGACAAAAAAAAGGCATTTCCCCTCACTTTCCCTTTTGTATCCCCGCTACAGGAACTGGAGGCAGACAAAGAAAACAACAAAAATCTGATAGGGGTTCCAACTATTCACTACTCTAACTAAATATAAAAAAACGTTTTGGCTTTAGGTATACTTACATACTTAGTCATTGATTTACTAAATAAGTAGAGAATGTTTACTTTGCTTAGTAATCCAGATGAAGCTCTATTTACTTTGATTACCCAATCATATACAAGAGAAATGTAAACAAAATAGGATTTCTGCTTGCTCATGGTTAGATGATTGAAGTAAAACCTTAGGAAGTCACCTCCATTAAAGAACTCTGAGCTACCCCCGTTCGTTTTGGTCTAGGGTGTAACATAAAAGAGTATATACTCCTTTTTATTAAATTATGCAATTTAGAAAGGGAAATATAAGCAACTGGACTTCCAATTGTTCAATTGTAGTTATTTTTATTGTATCATCTGTTTTAGTGTAACCTCTGCAGAGATGGAGACGGCTGTCTAGGTATAGGAGTTCAGTCTTGATGTTAATATGTACTAGATCTGGGATACACAATATAATTATTATTAGACCTCCCTCTTCATGTTGGTATACAATATAACTAGTGGGCCAAGCTAATGTTGTCAAAGAGAAATTCTAACAGAGTACACCTTGGTCTGTAACATTTAGCAAGGATAGCAGTCCTCTACAGGCTATTGAGGCCCATTAATGCACTCATATATAGGCTTTTAGTTGTTTCACTGATTCATTAAAGTTCCTGCTCATATTTGTTTAACTACATACTGACAAATTGACAAAAGTGGGAAAAAACTTTTTTAAAGTGTAACTGTGCCTGACAATTACTATGTTAAAAAGGAGAGAATTAACACTGGAACTATGGTTCCCAATGGTTAGTTCAGACAGTGTTTTCTTGAAGCCATGTATGCTTACAGCTGTCAAATGAGGAACGTTAAATTACCCCTTGTCACAGGGGCCTGTGAAGATTGCAGACACCTACTGGTTAAACCTGGTTTGCAATATGCACGTAAGAGTAACTTCACTGTAGAAGGTGGCGCAGCCTTCCTACCTTTTGTTTTATTTTTTGTTACACATTCTTCCTTAATTTGTATGCTCTTCCTTATTCCTTATGATTATGAATATAAGGAATGAAGAATATGTAGGTGCTATATAAATATAAAGTACTACAGGGTTAAAAAATATGACTTATACAATCTAATTATGAAAAAATATATCCAAGGATAATCTCTCTAAAGACCTTTTTTTGTGCAAAAGACAATGTGACATAAATTGTGCATTAACAGTAATAAGATGATTTTACTATCTGTATAGGAAAGAGTTCTTTATTGTAAGTGTGATTAAAGTACATTTGTCAGTGTTATAATATTACTTAACTGGTTTCAGGACCATTCCTTAGCAATTTTAAAGCCGACCCACTCCCTACTACCTCCCGCGCCTTCTTGTTAGCGTAGTGGTATCATAGTGGTAGGCTGATAGGACAAAGGGAAGGTAAGGTAGGGAAAAGGGGTAAGTAATTTTTCAATAGTGCTTGGAAGTGGCATGATGTGCATATTAGAGCTCCCCAGGAATTGGGATTTCATATTTATGTTTGAAAAAATTTTAAACATCCACAGAACCCTAAGCCTGCAGTTGAATCAGAGGAAATAAACCCTTCTAAAGCATGGTCCAATTTGCTCTAACAGAGAAAAAAATACTTCCTGATCCCCAAAGGCAATTGGACAGAGGAGGCAGGGATTATGTTGTGAAAAGCTTGGTTCATCTAATCTATTTTGATGTAAATCTGGTTCTGGTTGCAGCTCATAGCAGCCAGTCTAATTCAAAGTGTCATTTGTTATAGTGCAAACAAAAGCTGACCTATTTTATGGCTTATGGCATGTTAGGCAACCTAGAATAATATTGTGAAATTAATAATGAGTGATTGAAATATTCTTATATTATATCATATTGGTAAGAAATATTAATGCAATTTATGTTAAAGGGTAACATTGCCAGTTAAAGTGCAAAAAACAAAACAAAGGGCAATTGTTTACTGAAGTGGCGGAATTATAGTAAAGCCACCATTGTCTTATTTCATCATAAAATGATCAAAATCATTATCATAATTGAGTGCCTTTAAAAAGTTTGTAGTCTTAATAATAATGAAAGAGAACACAAAACAAAGACAAAAAGCTCTTATACATACAATATGACTTTTAAGAATCTGTGCGACCTGTCTAGAGCACCGCATTCTTGTGCCAATAGTCAAGGCTAACGACATCTTAAGGACTACCACTTAAATGTAAAACAATTGTGCCCAATAATCTCTAGGCACTACATGTATATTGAATTTGCTCCCTTGTCAGATTGATTAATAGTCAGAAAAAAACATTGAGAAACACTTAAGAAAACGTATAATGAATAGGAATATTATGGGAGGAGCTATATAAAGAAGTAAGTGAAATGACACCAGTGATATCTACTGTAACACTGAGAACTACATACACTAACATAACTGTAGACAAAGTGTTCATATAAATGATATTTGTAAATGCTTGGTGCTAGATAAAAACTTGCACATGTGAAGCTACAGTATATTCTGATTTTGAATCAGTCATAGTCCATGCTATTTTAACACTATCCAAACTAATTTTTTTTTTTAAAGCTGTAGAAATGTAGTTCTGCTCATTGGCAGCACAGAGTTACATGAAATTGCGTACAAAAAATAAAATCACAGAAAGCACTGATTGTAATGGAGAGAGTCCTTCAGCCCAATGGCTCCTCTTCCACTTTGATATGTCGCAAAGAGATGATAAAATCCTGCACTAGAAATCATTAATAAAAGATGCGTGCCGGAGTGTGTTTACATATGCAGCATTATATAGCTAAGTTGGTGCACTGACTATAGGTAGTATATTGTTGGGAAATGCATAGCCACTTAAGACCAATCAATTAAAAAATGAAAATCAAAGTAAAAACAGAATTCTCTCATAATGTGTTTTGCAAAATTGTTTCCTCCCTATTTACATAATAAGGCTGCACGGAGGGTGAAGTAGTCGGGGCAGCAGTCAGTGGGCTACGGCTGTCTTCCTCTTGAGTTACACATTTTTCTGTGGGTGTATGCATGCGATGTGCGTCCAGCATCTCCAACAGCAAGTCATACAGCGGCACAACATTTTTGCACTTCATACTATACAGGTGCTCCATCCCTTTATTGCTGTAAAAACAAATGCAAACATTTAATATTAGTGCATGAAAAGTTACATGAGTTCATGAGTAAACAGAAATGTTGCCAGGCCTCTTAAAGTAGAACTGATGTCAAGCTATGGGCAGTCAATTGTTTACATACATAGCTTTAAAACACTCCTCACTGACATTTGTATCTGTAGGCACGGTGGAGCAATTCATCCTCCAGTACTTTTTGTTTAATTTCAGAGGCTTAGTTCATTTTGCTATCCCATCTCTTAGCAGTGACTCAGCAGCCTGCCACCCTTCTAATCTATAATGTAATCACACACAGCACTTTGTGTAAATAAGTGAGGGCCTGTTTTAAAGTTTTTTTTTACTGCCCATTAGGAATATGTAAATATCTCAATGTCGATAGCTGTGCCAACATTCTTATTTAAATATCAACTCTGGTCAGATTTTAAATATAACTTTCTTACTGTTCATTGAAGGACACAGCTGGATCTTTTGATATTCACTGATGAGTTATAGTGCCACCTGCAGGAGTAGGATGCTAGGTGCACACAAGGTAGCCCCTGCTGGTGGCCAACCCCCCGCCCCCTCCCCATCTGCAACAACCAGCTCAGTTATTTGCCTTTTGCTAGGATTTAGGACCTAGGTTTTTTTCACTGGTATTGTAGGTTTTTTTCATTCCCGCTGTTGAGACTATGGAGGATGTTGATGACAATTTATTTCTCGGTGTGGACTCCACATCAAACCTGGGACTCAACCTGTCTGTCACGATTCAGACTCTTAGGGGTCTATTCACAAAGCTGCCGAGGGCAGCCGAGTGAATAGGTAGATCCAGAATCTCATCAGGTTGATGCTGGTGCCATCTCCTTGTCTGGAATACCTGTGCTTGACTCTGGACATCAGAGTGTCTAGGGTGTCCTCCTTCTAATGTTTATCACATGTGCCTCTGAGTATTTGCCAGATAGCCTCCATTTGCAGCTGCATGCAGGTACTAGAACTTATGGTGGCTGCATTTGAAGCAGTTCCCTATGCACAGCATCTTATCAAGGTCCTTTAAAGGGAAATTTTCTCCAAAGGGGACTAACTTCTGGGGTTAACTTTGGACAGGACGATCCCCCTGTCCCATCATTTCCCAATGCTACTGTCCATAATGTCCTTCCTGCCTCTATGCTGACAGAACATTATGGCAGAGACCAGTCTGAATGGTTTGGGGAGTGCTGGGTAAGTTGTTGGCTCTGTTGACCAAGGGAGAATCCAGTCTATCCATCAGTGTTTTGTCCCTCTTACACTGGATGGACCTCTTTGTGGAATACACCAGTCATTGGGGTAGGGTGCAAAGAACTCAGTCACAGTGCTGGACGTGGCTCAGATACTGTGCTGGGCCAAAAGACACGTTCTGGTTCTGACTAACATTCACATTTTAGGGGTGAAAAATTGGCAGGTGGATTATCTGAGCGATCAGAGCCTGGATCAGGGAGAGTGGCCCCTTTATCAGGACTTGTGATGGTGGAACTGCAGGGCAGGTATTAACTGGTTTAATATCTTTTCAAAAACATCTGCAAACAATAGAGCTAGAAGGCATTCCAGTAATTCTAGTGTGGCCTCCCATCTGAAACACAGACATCATTTGTCTGGTTGCAGATGCCCCTTGGTGCCTACTGTTACATTTGGTTCTTCTATTGAAGGATTTTGGCATTCTGCCAATGACTGGCTTTGGGTACTGTTAAGGGTCAGGTTTCTGCCTTAATTGTTTTGAGCCAATGCCCTCTGGCCACTCACTCCCTGGTTTGCATTTTGATACAGGACGTTATTTGGGCTGGCTCCCCCCAAAAAAACACCATTGACACTGTGAGTCCTGAATTTGGTGATGTTGGCTCTTCAAATACCTCCAATCAAGAACATTCAGTAAATTCCCTTGCTGAGTATTTTACAAAAGGTGACCTTTTTTGTGGCTATCCGTTCAGCATGCGGAATGTACGAGTTGGCGGCTTTATCCTGCAAGCAACCATTTTTGGTACTGCACAAAAGACAAGGTTGTCCTTCATCCATGGCTGCCCTTACCTAATGTGATGTACTCTTTTCATTTGAATAAAGACATTGTTCTGCTTTCCCTTTGACCCAGTCCTTCTCACGCAAACGTAGTGGCTCTTTATTATCTGGTTGTGATTAGGGCTGTCAGGGTCTACATGAATGCTACTGCTTCTATCAGAAAGACCGACTCTCTTTTCATAGTTCGGGCTTGCATCATTAAAGGTTGAGAACCTCCTTTCCCTGTCAGTGATTGCTCCACCAGAACTTTTTCCTGAGCTTTTCATCATGCCTCAATTTTGTGGTCTTGGTTGTCTGTATTGCACACTGTTATGCATTTTTCCAAGTTCAGCACATTGGGCCATTTCTCTTATCATAGGTAGTCGCGCTCCTCAAAAACGTGTTTTTTGTTGGCCTCAATTTTGTGGAGTGGCTACCTGGTCATCTTTTCATACATTTACCAAGTTGTACAGGTTTGATGTTGCAGTGTGCGCAGATGCTAGCCACAAGGTTTTGTAGGCAGCGGGGTTGAGCATCCTTGCTGAGGTTGTGGTTGATGTTTATACTATTGTTTAAATTTTTCCGTTTGGGCCCACCCTCTATTTGCCAATGCTTTGGGTCATCTCATCATTCAGGATCTAAAGATCCAGTTGTGTTCAATGGAAGAGAAAAAAGGATTTTTGTACTCACCATAAAATGCTTTTCTCTGTTCTCGTTTTCCTTTATCCTGTGTAGTGCTTGCTACTAACTGAGCTGTTTGTTGCAGACGAGGGTTTGGCCACTAGCAAGGGCCACCCCTGAGCTGTCTTTGTGTCTGTACCTAACATCCTACTCCTGCAGTTGACACTATAACCCAACAGACAAGATCTAAAATCCTTCAATGCATATAGAGAAAATGATTTTACTGTGAGTACAAACATCCTATTTTTGTGTTCCCCCAATATAGTAAGGGATAACTGCTTGTTTAGGGTGGGGCGATTTAATCCTCTCCAGCCCCAATAATGTGGGTTGGCTCTTGACATCCTCACGCTCAGTGCAGTTCTGCTGGTGCTGCATTGTATGGGATCACATTGGTGGCGGAACAGCTGCACATCCAGCAAAGAGGAGTCTTCGTCTTCACACCCCCTAGACTAAACAAGCATTTAACCCTTACTATATGGGAAGGGAGGTCCGAAAAATGTATTTTGTTAGGTTTTTCAGAGATTAGCTTTATGGTACCCAAAGATTTCTGGTCATCAGACAAGAGGGATCACAGCAGTCTTAAAGTATATGTAAACCCAACAAATGAAGACTAAAAGCAGCTGTGCTAACACACATTGCACGGGCATGTTCCAATATTGTCACCATCAGGAAAACTGCCCTGAGAAATGACATACAGCAGTTGCTAGGGTGCAAGGAAGTAGACATGAAGTGGCTACAAAGAGGCGACAGGAGCTCAACAGTGCTGATATGTAAGAAAGGGTGAAATAAAGGTGAACAAAACAATGTTTATGATACACAGTGCTTTAGCAAACTAAAGGTCAGTTAGATTTTACATCTAATTAATACTGACTATGCTATGCTGTAAACGTGCAAGGAGCCTAGATTCAAATTCCTGTGTCTCTGGTGCCTAGTTACTATTAAGACTGCTTTGAAACAAATGGCCGCCTAATTGTCATCTGTTTTTTAACCCAGTGCACTCAGCTGAAGGCAGTAACTTGGGTTTCAGTTTACCGTTGATTGCCAAGAGATTTTAGCCTTTCCATTAAAGTCTTAAGCTGGCCATACACCTATAGATTATCTACAGATTTTCTATGGCCAGATGGAAAAAGTGCAACAGATTCCTCCATCTACGCTAAACTGTGTGGATGGAGGAATCTCCCACTGGGCCAAGCTTCAGCATCGTCCTAGTCAGCCCCACTGGCTGCCAAAATACTTGAACAATCTGATTGGATGCAGGCATTGTTCAGGTGTTTTGAGAGCCAGCGGGGATGACTAGGAAGATACTGAAGCTCGGCCCAGTGGGAGATTCCTCCATCCACAAAGTTTAACCCAGATGGAGGAATCTGTTGCACTTTTTCCATCTGACCATAGAAAATCTGCAGATAATTGTAAGGTGTATGCTTTAGACCCTCAGAAAAGAAGGTAAAGTGATGACAAGTGCAGAGAAGATTAGATGGATAGGGTCAGTATGAGTTAGATTTTCAGTGTCTAGTTGGCTGATGAGGTAACT